TGACCCTAAAATTTTGTTGGCAATCATTGAGATCAAACAACTGAGTGAACATCTCTGCTGATCCAGGCATCCCATCAAACATTTGAGTGAAATGTGCTAAAAAAAGGGTAAATTAACAAGCATTACATCTCAATTGATCCAAGTTTTCCAAATCTGCTTTTAGTTTTCCAACTACTAGTTGAATATTTGTGCACATATTGGCATCTCCTAGGTGTCTGTTGCCTAGAAGAAATTCTTTTCTCATCCATGTTATGCCATTTAGGGATAGCAATAGGTAGGGCAGAATCCAATACCTATAGGTATCCGACTCGATGGTTAATCTGATTAGACGATCGATGGATTATTTGTTAGGGTTTGGTATTGTTAAGGAGTTATCGACGGGTAATCTAATAGGATTTGGCAAGAGGACCCGATATATATGTACACACACATATACTTAGGTACCAATTTTATAGTTTGATGACAAGTTTCTTAATCTTATAACCTAATAGCATGTAACCCTACTCCAACACAAACGAAGACAATTACTATTACAAACAAAATAGTATTGGTTTAACCCTTTATTAAATGTTGGATTTTTCTCATGCAAGCTCTTTGGCTTTACCCAAGTTTAAAACTCAATGTAGTGTATTAATTTAACATGATATGTATATATATTTAGTTTGATAAAAGTTAATTTTTCTTTTTCGAACTATTCAACATAGTAAGTTGAGGGTACCCGATGAATCATCCGAATCCATGAGTAAGAGGGTTTGGTAATGGCAATTAAAACCCACATGGTTATCCAATTGGGTTTGATAAAATACTTAGACATATAGGTTAGGGTTTGATAAGAGAGATTTTCAAGGTTACCCAACCTGCTGCCATGACTAATGTCATTTACTTTAATTAGGATTGTCAATGGAGTCGGACCAACCCGAACTTGGCTTGCTCAGATCAAGAAAAATTTCGATAAGCCTAACCTTTCATTGAGTTGGGCTAAGTTTGGACCTAAATATTATGTCTGAATTAAATATGAGCCAAGTTTGGACATTATTAGGTTCAAATCTGATGTAGTTCCAGTCCTTTAATCTGCATCTATATATATAATTATATATAATTTATTCAAAGTTTAATATATATATATATCTAAATATATAACACTAATACTTTATATTTTTGAGTTATGTGTCAAAACATGTTAATAGATATAAGAAATATTAAATATACAAAATTATGTCAAAAGATTCAGAAGGAAATCTTAGAACAAGCAAATTGAGGACCTTTGAAGATGTATTGATTGCTGATTATGTTTTATTACTATTTTCCATGTATTTTGAACTAATTGTATATATTATTGCTGAAAAATTCTTGGTTTATATATTTTTTGATGAACTATTACTGGTCCGTATAAAGTTTTAATAATGAGGTCCTGTGGATGTTAAATTAACTTTAGAACCTAATAGTTATAGTAATTATATTAAGAAAATTAAGAAGCAATAAATGAGTTTTGGCTAAACTCTATTTAGACTCACAGCTTCAATATTTTGTGAGTCAAGTATGAACTTCACATTTATTAATCCAAAACTCATAACCCGAAATTTGAAAATGGTACTAACTGTATGAGATGAATCTGGACTTATAAAATCCAGATTCAATCGGGCCTAACTTCACCCATTATCCGATGCAACAATATCTAAATGTTTTTCAAGCCTCGACTTAAGACTGCTAGAAAAAGTTTGAGGTAGTTCATGATGATGGAGAGAGAGGCCTTCACCTACAATGACCATAACTTTGAAGGTTGGAATTGGCCTTGTTTGAAGAGTAGAGTAATCAAATTTTCCTTTTCCCACACCTCATCCAATGCTTGCACCTTTGCAGATGGTTTTAGGTTCTTTTGTTCTTTGGACTAGATTTATGAACATGATTTGATTTACCACTATTCTGCGTGGAATGCTGCCATTCCATTCATGCCAAAGATTTCTCTTACCGCCTATATTTGCTTCACATATCGTCTGCACACATATATAAAGTTCTCAATTTACATAGGCACTGCGAGAAGTCATACAGCAATACTATAAACATCTACATGCACCATCAGCAAAAGATTTTATGTTCAATTCAAACATGTACATCATACATAGAGTCAGCAATTATTAGTGTTTTGATTGGAGTTATTAAAATGTCTTTAGGAACAAATGTTTAGCCAAGGAAAGTCAATAACTTTTTTATTCTTGTCAATAGGAACTCGATAGGATTAGGATTGTCTGAACATATAAATGTACATTATGTACCTTGTCTTGAATATTACTCCTAGAACATGCAGTTTAGGCACATAGTCAGAAGGAAGCTTGTACAATGCATAGCTACAAGTAAACAAAAACAGGAATGGCAAGCAGCTATCCACCAGGAAGACATTCAAGACTAGCAAAAATTGATAAGTGCCTACAAAGATCTTAATCTTCTTTAGAAAGATACATAAACAACTCATCCATTGCTGAGGATAATTGAAAAAAAAAAAAGAAAACAAAAAGACATATGCACCACTTTCAAGTATACACATGTAACAAGAGATGCATGGAGGGAAACCTTTATGGTAGGAAGCCCTTTGACCGCTCCTACCGTAGGAAGCCATGCAGAACTGGACACGTCTATTTGGTCCAAAAGCACCAAATGGAGCCGTCATGTGGCAGTGGTAACGCGCGTGGAGAAGGAAGGAACGAACGCTGATGCCCAACCAATAAACTACTAACTATTTATGAGCATTTTACTTTTAATCAATTAATTTATATTAAATACATAAATGTTTATAAGTGAAATTTAAAAAGTGTTACACTAATATTATTATGAAAGGGAAACTAGTAGGTTTTGTATTTAACATATATTAAATACGTAAAAGTAAAAAAAGAAATTACCCACTTTTACTAACTCTTTACGGGTTTCTTCTATTATATGAATAAAGTACTGGCTATTTATAGGCATTTTACTCTGAATCATATAATTTATGTTAAATACATAAATGTTTGTAAGTAAAATTTAAAAAGTGATATACTAAATTTTTTATGAAAGGAAAACTAGTGGGTTTTGTATTTAATATAAATTAAATACGTGAAAGTAAAAAAGAAATTACCCACTCTTTACTAACTCTATACGGGTTTCTTCTATTATATGAATAAAGTACTAGCAATTTATAGCCATTTTATTCTGAATCATATAATTTATGTTAAATACATAAATGTTTGTAAGTAAAATTTATGTCAAAGGGCTTCCCAACAATTATTTCACTGTTTCCCCACCGCTTTATGTAAGGATCGAAGACAACCTAAGAGGGGGGTGAATTAGGTAGTTTAAAAAACTGACCAAGTTGTGAGTCACTTTTTGAGTACTTGCCCTCTTTTTCTAAAAGATCACATAATGGAGCAATTGATGAGAAAGCACAAGTGCTTGTGAGTAAAAAAAATGAGCAATTTATATATCAAAACAATAAGTAAAAGAGATAGAATATCAAACCAAATACCAAACTCCTCTTGAGTTTGAATATCACTTTATAGAGTAAGATTCTTCAAGTTGATCAACTTACAACCAATCTTTTGTATACAAAGGAAGGACCACTTCCTCTTCGCCCCAAGCCACACTTGGTCAAGCAAGGAAGTTTTACTATCACTCGAATAACCCTCACAAAACTACACTATTGAATTAATTGAATCACACTAGAAAAGCTTATCGAAAATTACACAACTAAGAGTACAAATCTTCTTTGAAGAGTATTTTCACACTAAAATCACTCTAGATTTCCTGTAGTCTCAATGTGAAAAGTTGCTTTGAAATGGTTGATTTCGTTCTAATTATATGGGACCAAAAAGTTCCTCAATTAATGCATCCAACGGATAGAAGGTAGTTGAAAAGCCAACTAATCGTTGGTAGTGTTGGATGTCCGGTAGACCAACTTCTTACATTCGAACGTAGGCAGTGAGTTCAAGAAATTTTCTTGAATTATTTTGGACGTCTGATACTTTCAATATATGCGTCCGAAGGTAGGAGGTGAAATTCAGAATTCTTCTTCAATTCTTTTCGAACGTCCGGGGCCTCCAAGGCTTTGCGTCCGAAGTGTCACAACACTTGTCGGACGTCGGGTGCTCTGATGATGTGCATCCGATCGAGATCAGTGAGTTTAGAGGAAATGACACAATATCTTCGAACGTCCGAGGGTAAAGTTTTTCATGCGTCCGAAGTTACGCAAAGGTTGTCGGACGTCCGATCCAGTCTTCTTGCGCGTCCAACAGCAGTTTCAACATCCTTTGTGCTTAATCTTTGAACCTGTTTTGCTCCATTTCTGAAAGGGTCTATTTAGAGAACACTAGTAACATCCATTTGTTTTGTAATTATCAAAAATTACAAACTGAGTTAAACAATCTCCCTCTTTTTGATGATGACAAAACAATGGATTGAAAAATATAATTGGAGTACAACTCCCCCTTACTTGATGCATCCAAAGAGTGGATACTAATAATGTCCTCTCACATATAGATTACTATCCATTGACACTCCCCCTTAGAATGACTCCCCCTCACGTATAGATTATATATCCATTTCTCCCCCTTTTTGTCATCATTGAATCACAGAATCCAGTATCCGATACACATAATTAATATTTTCAGCAATATTAGAAGCCAAAACTATCAACAATTATCAGCAATACTATCAACACTTATCAGCAAAACCAAAAGCCAAAACACAGCATCATTAATATTGACACTTGTCAACAGCAATCATTCATCCAGTCAATATCAGATATCAAAGGTCAGACTGAATTAAACAACATTCATCCAAAAATCAGGGATAATCCACAAAAGCAACATTCATTCAAAACAAAAAAGATAACCAAATAGTTTTACAGACTAGCAGAGGAAGGAAAATAGAATTCTTAATACAGAACACACAAAATATTTAAAATGCAAGAGATGCCAAAAGCCTATTATGAACTACCATCCTAGTCATGAAGTGTATTTGCCTAGAAACGTCTAAATGGTAATCTTGGACGATCCAGGCCTCCTCCTTGTTAGGCGAAACTGAGCAGGATCCACTTCTTCCTCTTCAGTGTCCTCATCATCATCCTCTTCAGTTTCTTCTTCAGTTGCTGGAGCCTTTCTCTTGTCCTGTGGCTGAGAATTGGAGGCATGGTACTCTGGAATAGTTTCAGTAGTTGGCTTAGTTCTAGGTTCCTTTTGGTGTGCATTCACATTATCTTGAGGAATGGGAGGCACAAGCAGATTTCTCTTGTTAATGAAGGTGGCTTGTTGTTCGGATGACATGGTCATCATCAGACCATTTTCAAGGAGTAGGATGTGTTGTTTAAGATTCTCAAACAAAGAAATGACCTCAGAGTTGGATGAAAAGGACTTAATGGTTGACTTTCTAGGATGGATAGTAAAGGGTGAGACAAATATGGACTGATCTCGAGGAGTCCAAGGGGTAACAGGAGTTTCATGAAAATTCTTTCTCCTAGACTTCGAAACAGTTTCCTTGTATCACCAATGACACTAAAAAAATTTCAGATTTTTTCTTTCAAAATAAGTTTTGGAGAAAACAGTTGATGCACTTTCTTTTGGTGATTTTCTAGTAAAGGGAATTTCAAGATGAGCAAAGATAGGAGTCAAAAATTTTCTATATGAAAGTTTTTTACGGCTATCAGTGCTAATTTTGAGTAGGAATTTGCACATAACAAAGCCAATATCAATTCTGATTTTCTCAAGAAAACAATAGAACAGGTAAAACTCCATTTTGTTGGTATCAGTCCTATGACCATCAGTAGGGACCAACAGATTCAAAATTATGAAAAAAATGATCAAGTTTTGAGGACTGAAATCCTCCAATCTTGCTTCAGCAGGAGTATTAAAATGAGTTTAAAAATAAGTCATCAATTTAGCAACATGAAAATGATAATATGCAAAAGGAAATTCTTCATATGAAAAGAAGTTTACATTTTTTTTCTTTAAAACCATCTTCAATTTTGGTTTCCAGAACAGTGTTGACAATGTCAGGGTTCACCTCTATGTTAATAGAGTTGACACGTGAAACTAGATCAGTGTGTGATCTACCCTTCCTAAGGTTGGCAAAGAATTGATGAAGCATGTCAGGATACTATGTGTTTGGAATGGTCAGAAGATGAGTCCATTTTTGGAATTCAAAAAGCTTAAGAATTGGTTCAAGATCAAGCTTACGGAATTCGTAAGGGATGATAGTCCTCTGAGTAATGAAACCTTTCTGCGAGATCCATTCAAACCTCTCCCTGACAACATTATCAATGAACTTGGGTAAGGGGATAGGTTCCTCTGCAGTTTGAGCCTCACGTTGCTCTTTGGCAGGACGCTTTCTCTTTCCACTGCGTTGATCGGTTGGCACAGTATTCTGGACACCAGACCTTGTCCTTGGTGACTTCCTGGTAGAAGATTCAGCAGTTTGCTACTCCCCAACATTTTTCTCTGCAGCCTGCTGTTTCTCACTTTGCTCAACAGAAGGATCAGCAGTTTGCCTTTCCTTAGTTTGAGCAATTCCATTCCTTTTAGCTGACCTTTTTCCCTTTTTACTGTGAGATTTCGTCACATTTCTGGGTGATTTCGTAACGGATGCATCAGTATTGATGGGCTGCTCCAGTTCTTCTTCACTATCACTGATTGGATGCTCTTCAGGGCATAGTATTCTGGACACCAGACCTTGTCCTCGGTGACTTCCTGGTAGAAGATTCAGCAGTTTGTTGTTCCCCAATATTTTTCTCTGCAGCCTGTTGTTTCTCACTTTGCTCAACAGAAGGATCAGCAGTTTGCCTTTCCTTAGTTTGAGCAATCCCCTTCCTTTTAGCGGACCTTTTTCCCTTTTTACTGTGAGATTTCGTCACATTTCTGGGTGATTTCGTAACGAATGCATAAGCATTGGTGGGCTGCTCCAGTTCTTCTTCACTATCACTGATTGGATGCTCTTCAGTTTGATGCTCCTCCAGTTTGAACATTCAGCTTCTTCTTTGCAGACTGCTTCATCTTTCGACCACGAGTTCCAATTCCCTTTCTGGATGATTTGGTGGAAGGTTCGACGACCTGAACATCTTCATCCTCTTCATCTCTAAGCCTGAAGGTGCGTTCGGCACTGACAGACCCTCCTCTAGTTTTCACCATTATGCAATGCAAGATGATGTTGTTGCAGAGTATGATGTGAGTGGGTAATGAAATGAATTATGAGTACAGATGAACTACAATGACTGCTTGAATCGACCACAGATAGGTGAAAATTGAGTGGTTAGGGTTTCGGGTGAGAATTGGGATTTATGGTGTAGTTGGCAGTTGGGAGAAGTTATGAGGAGCAATAAATGCGCAATAAGAATGTAAGGGTGTTGGATAGAGCAATTTCTTGAAACTTGTTCCGAAGAGAGATGAATTTGAATTTTGAAAGTGAGAGAATATGAAGAGTTGCGTCTGAGACAAAGGGTAAAAATGAACTGAATGAAGCAAAGGACTTCCTTATAAGACGCAATTTTTGAGTGTTGGACGGCTGAACGAAATAAAGCATCCGACACAACCGTCCGAACCAGAACTTTCTGAAAAATGATCAAGATCACTGTCGGACGTCCGCTCTAACACATCGGACGTCCGCTAAAGAGTGACCAGAGAATTTTTAGAATATTTTTTCTGAAACGCCCAATTTTGTTCTCAAAGACACAAATTGATCCAGTGGTAAGGTTTTTGTGAGAATATCAGCAATTTGATCTTTTGAGCAGGCATATTGAACACAAATTTCACCCTTATGGACAAGATAGCGAATGAAATGATGTTTTATGTCTATGTGTTTTGTCCTAGAATATTGAATGGGATTTTTTGTCAAATTTATGGTACTAGTGTTATCACAATACATAGGTACACAATTGTACACTAATCCAAAATCATTTAATGTGTTTTTCATTCATAATAATTGAGCACAACAAGCTCCGGCGGCAACATATTCCGCTTCGATTGTAAACAACGAAATAGCATTTTCTTTCTTGCTGAACTAAGATACTAGGCAATTTTCAAGAAAGTTACATATACCTGTTGTACTCTTTCTATCTATCCTACAACCACTAAAATCAGTATCCGAGAATCCACATAAAGGAAATTCATGACACTTAGGATATCATAGGTCAAAATTCGGGGTTCCTTTTAGGTATTTAAGAATTCTTTTTACCGCATTCAAGTGAGATTCTTTTGGACAAGACTGAAAACAAGCACACAAGCATACAGGAAACATAATATCCGGTCTACTAACAGTTAAGTAAATTAAACTACCAATCATATCTCTATATTTCTTTTCATCAACTCTTGTACCTTTTTCATCCTTGTCAAACTTGGTAGATGTGCATATAGGTGTTCCAACTTGTTTTGAATCTTCCATTCCAAACCTTTTGAACAGCTCCTTAGTGTATTTTGCTTGATTAATGAACGTTCCTTCTCGGGTTTGAACCACTTGGAGTCCAAGGAAAAAATTTAATTCTCCCATCATGCTCATCTTAAACTCTTTTTGCATAATTGTGAAAAAATCCTTGCACAGGCTCTCATTAGTAGCACAAAATATAATATCATCCACATATATTTGTACAATTAAAAAATCACATGAACTTTGTTTAGTGAAAAGAGTAGTATCTACAATGTCTCTTTTAAAACCATTTTCAATCAAAAAATCACTTAAGCGTTCATACCATGCCCTTGAAACTTATTTTAATCCATACAAATCTTTTGAGAGTTTAAACACATGATTAGGATAAATCTCATTTTCAAATTGATTCTAACCTAGCTACGGGTGCAAATATTTCATCAAAATTTTTTTTTTTTTTTAGCATACCCCTTATCTACAAGTCTGGCCTTATTCCTTACTACCTCACTTTTGTCATTCATTTTGTTTTTAAAAACCCATTTTGTGCCAATGATTGGATGATCTTGAGGTCTTTCAACTAATCTTCAAATCTTGTTCCTTTCAAATTGATTTAACTCCTCTTCCATAACTAAAATCCAGTTCTCATCTTTCAAGGCATCAACAACATTTTTAGGTTCAAAATGTGAAACTAATACAAAATTATCCATCAATTATTTAGAGGAGGAACAAGTTCTGACCTTCTTGGATGGATCACCAATGATGAGCTCCTTAAGATGGTTTTGAACAAATTTTCTGACTCTTGGAAGATCGTTAGGTGTACTAACATCTCTGTCATTGTCTTCCAGTGCTGGACTGTCTTGAGAATCATCTTCCTTTGAGTCATTTTCTGGTGAAGCAGTGTCTTGGTCATTGATTGTGAGCTTCTTTAGTCCTTCTTGAACACCTGCATCATCATCTTCACCACAACTTTTGAAAATATCACCATTAGATTCATCAAAAGTAATATGTATAAGTTCCTCTATAACCAGAGTCCTGCGATTATAAACTCTAAAACCTCTCTTATTCTCACAATACCCCAAGGAAATTCGTTCATCAGATTTTTTATCAAACTTACCAAGATGTTCCTTAATGTTTAAAATGAAACATTTGCAACCAAAAACTTTGAAGTATCCAACAACAAACTTTTTATCAAACATCAACTCATAAGAGGTTTTGTTCAAAATTGGTTTTAAAAGAATTCTATTCATAGTATAGCAGGTTGTATTTATGGTTTCAGTCCAAAAATATTTTGGCAAATTACACTCATTTAACATGGTTCTAGTAGCCTCTTGAAGTGTTTTATTCTTTCTTTCAACAACCCCATTTTATTGGGGAACTCTTGTAATTGAAAATTCATGAGTAATTCCATTGTTATCATAAAATTCTGGAAAGCCACAAAAATGAGATTCTGAGCCATTGTCACTTTTGATCTTGATGATTTTCAACCCAATCAAATTTTGAACCTTTGCAAATAATGAAACAAAGTTTTTTAAAGCATCATCTTTGTGTGCAAGAAACATCATCCAAGTGTATCTAGAATAATCATCAATAACAACAAGGCAATATCTTTTGCCATCTAAACTAGTAGTTTGTGTAGGATCAAATAAATCAAGATGTAAAAGTTCCAAAGATTTTGTGGTAGAAACACATTTCTTGGGTTTAAAAGAAACTTTGACTTGTTTTCCAAATTGACAAGCATCACAGATTTTATCCTTTTCAAATTTGATTTTTGGCAACCCTCTAACAAGTTCCTTTTTGGAAATCTCTTTTAGCAAATCCATGTTAAAATGACAAAACCTTCTACGCCACAACCAAGGGTCTTCATTTGCAACTTTAAGACATTTAAGACTAGAAGAATTAACATTTTCCAGAATAACTACATAAATGTCATTAACTCTTTTTTCTTTGAAGATAGTGTTGAATTTTGAGTCAAGAACAAGGCATTCACGCTTTTTAAATAACACAAACAAATTTCTATCATATAATTGACTAACACTTAACAAGTTATAACTCAGATTGTTAACTAAAAGAACATTATGAACAAAGATTTGACCATTCTTACCAACATTACCAATTCCAACAGTTTTGGCTTTATTATCGTCTCCAAAAGGTACTTTTTCGCTTGCTCTTGGCTTGAACTTGATGAATTGTGATAGATCACCAGTCATATGTTTTGAGCATCCACTATCTATGAATCATTTTGATTTCTTGATAATATTCACCAAATTCACCTACATAAAAGTTCACAAGATAATATTTGGTACCATTTATTTTTTGGGTCCTTGAGAGTTAGCATTATGTCTAACTATCCACATACATTTCATACCATTTCTCATATTCTTTCTCATATAACAATTACTCTTCATGTGACCAATTTGACAACAAAAGCTGTAGATGGTCAGTGAGTTGCTCACATGGACAGGTTTAACAAATTTGATTTGCCTTCTCTTATAAATGGTAAATTCGTTTGCACTAGAATTCAACCTTTTCTTATGAATGTCAAAATGATGTTTTGTATCATGTCTTTGAAAGCAATTTTATTTCTAATGTTGAAGTAACTGATTAAGATCATCCATTCTTCTTTTCAAAATTTCTTGTTCATTTTTGAGCATGTCACAGAAATTTGTTCTTCTATCGAGTTCAACATGTAAATCATTTTCAATCCTTTTCAGGTTTTCATTTTCATTTTTCAGATTCTTGTTTTGTTGAAAAAGGTTTGCATTGTCTTGAATCAGAAAATTGATCTTTTGTTTTAATTCCTTGTTTCTAACATAGGATTCTTTCAAGTTATTATGCATTCTTTCCATAAAAGAATTAACATCATCATCACTATCAATTTGAGAGTTACAAGCAGTTACCTCTTCATCACCGATGGCCATGAATGCCATTTGGGCAGATTCCTCTTCTTCTTCGACTTCACCTTCTGAGTTGCAGTCATTCCAAGTGATCTGAAAGTTGTTAAGCTTTGGTTTCGTTCAATTTTTCCTTTTTTCTTTTTCTTCATTGGACACTCGCTCACATAGTGTCCAGGTTGACCGCACTCGAAACATTTGTCAGTTTGTTTCTTATTGAATTCTTGCTTCCATTTGTTTCTTAAGTTGTTGAACTGATTTGGGAATGAATTGTTAGGTCCCCCTTTTCCGAATCTCCTCTTGTTGAGAATTCTCTTGAAGGTTCTTGTGATGAGTGCAATAGCAATGTCATCAACTTCCACATCATCTTCATCCAAGGAAGCTGAGTCATCTTCATTTTGCGAGACTTTTAGAGAAATACTTTTTCTCACATTTGCATCTTGTTCCTCCTGCACCTTGGACTTGAGTTTCAACTCATAAGAAGTTAGAGAATTAACAAGTGATTCAATAGGCAAGGAATTTAGATCTCTAACTTCTTCAATGGCAGTCACTTTACTCTTCCAATCCTTAGATAAAGCATTCAGAATTTTCCTGTTTTTCTCGCCTAGAGAATATTCCTTTTCCAACACTTCTAAATCCTTAATGAGATCATTGAATTTACAATACATCTTATCAATGTTTTCATGAGGTTCCATCTTAAAAGATTCATATTTAGTGA